AGGCAGTACGTACTGTAAGTGAAAAAACTCCACATGTGAGATTGTCTTGTATATATTTTTGCTTTCTTTGATAAACACTATTAAACACGCAAATTTTAATTAGTGAGACGCAATGTTAAATGTCACCTGCATGTCATTGTCATTGCCCTTTAACCCCTGGTCTAATTGGCCGGTTTTGAAAATGTTGATCATGACGTACCGCACTAATGCAAACTTTGTGTTTTAAAAACGGGTTAGGATAAAACGCGGATACGGACGGACGGATGAATGAATGACGGACGGACCGGACGGATTATATATATATATATATATATATATATATATATATATATATATATATATATATATATATATATATATATATATATATATATATATATATATTATATATATACACGCAGCGCGCAGGGTAGTTAGTGGCTTACGTCTTGGCTGGTTGTTATACTTTAAAATAATTTTGTATATACCGATAAATCAATATTCCGAGTATATAAATATATAAACTGGGATGTCACACTGATAGCTTGTTTACATTTCCTGGAGCATCATGAAATCTTATGTTTAACCACGGTGGTTTAACCCATTAGCTGGCCATGCGCCCTTCCCTTGTCGAGCGCCAGAAGATTTTGCTCGTCAGTGGTATAGGGTACTGCCAGTAAATGGGTTAACAAACCTATCTGCCAATGGCTCTTGTTAATTCATCAGCACAGTAATAACCCCTACTTTAGTATTTACCCTGTCCAACGCCAGACGATTTTTAATACTCAGTCAGTGGTAGGGTACTGTCAATAAATGGGTTAACAAGGATAACAATAATTAGCCTGCATGGCAGGCGGTATTTCCCAGGCTTGCCCAATTTTAGGAACCACCTGCCATGCAGGCTAAACAATAATAGGATGTTTCTCAAGGACTCGTTCAACACCCTGTAGTTTGTCTTTTGCTGTCAAAGGCAGCATTACTGCCCTGTGGGTAACCTAGTATATTTATTTATCAGGGGCATGTCAGTATATCTATGATCTGATACATTTATATTTCAGGCGACGGTGATCCTTTTCTCTGAGGTCGGCTTCCGTGGTGTTCATTATCCCAAATGGTGGAGATGCGAACGAGATGTTTATTACAAAATACTGCCCATGCGAGGCACCTCACCGAGTATATACATGATAAAACAGTGTCAATAATTCTTACAAGTAACAAAACAAGTTTAGCAAAATACAAAACAATAAATTACTAGAAAATACATGCATGCAGAAACCCTCGCCTTGCTGACAAAACCATTGTATTTTCCAAACATGAAGTATCCAAAGTTGTTGTCATGGTAATAACACGATAATTTTTTAAGAATATTCTTACAAATGAAAAATTGCCTAAAAATATCAATTTTAATTACAAAATTATCAATTTCCCAACATATATTTGTTAGGTATGTTATTATACGTAATATAAGCTTCAATTTAAGGTAAAATTCAACCACAAAAGCTTCGCAAAACGTTTTAAAACGTTCTTTATAAAACTAAATTGCCTGGCTTTAATTAAATGGCTTTATCGATAAACTTTGAGTTTGCAACAAAATGATTTCAAATTCTCGCATGCAAATAACTTTGCTTTCTTTTTAGTAAAAAAATTCAATATAATAAAAAAGGAATCAATATTAATAATACACTGAATTGACTGAAATTATATGCTGTCTTGTTTAGTTATTTCATATACGCAAAGGGCCAAAGGCCGTCGGGTTTTAAAGCAATTATAAAATCAATATTTAACACAAACTTACCTTCGTTAACGTCGGCTCCCTTCTTTTAGCCGATTCTTTCGCCGTTTTTATCTTGAAATTTACAAAATCTTGCAAAAATGCGAGTAAAATTGAAGTATATTTGCAAGAAATTTATCAATCATCAAATCTGTGATCAAATCAAGAAATGTTTGCTATTTCGCTGTCGTCATACAGTCGTTATGATGCAAACTTTAAATTGGACCAATCAGTGTCCGCTATTCATGACAGTCCGCCATATTTTTGAGATCAGTGAGGATGACCACCCCCTCAACACCGTTGGTCACCCACGCCCGCGATACTTGATGAACTTTAGACTCCGCTAATGCTTTCGTTTCCCCGGGTGTAAATAGCCGGGGGGAATTAGTACCCTCGCACGGCGCTCCGCGCCGTCGGCTCGGGGACAATACAAAGAATATTAGACGAGAGAATTCTATGGCAAGGATGTCCACGTGACATGGACCAGGTACATAACAAACTAATATTAAAAACAGAACATATTAACTTAGAATAGTGTTCATAAACACAGTTCCACAGTTTCAAAATTCGATTGAAGTATGATGCCTGGTAGGTGGATGTATTGCGACAAGGAGTTCTGAGTATGGGGTTTGGATTGTTGCTGTGACGTGTTCAGTTGTGAGGAACAAAAAGAAACATAGTTGTGCACATCAAGGTCTTTCATTCCATAAGGGGCTTCGTAGAAAAAAATCAACCCTCGCATCTCTCATTCATTGCACAATTAACGGCAATAATTTTTGTTATCCAATCAAGATGTGCCAGAAGAAATGTCAATTTCACATAATAACAACAAACTAAATATAGTTACAATCACTAAATATATAATTATTTAGGTATAGAATTAACCAAATATCAAAACAATACATTAAATATGGCATGGGTACTCATGCTAGAAATAGCCAATCGGAATTACAACCATAGGTCCTACAACGCAGTTGTAGGACACAAACATTTAATAACATGTGTATCAGGTCTTCTTTTTGTCTTTGCCCGTCAGATGAGAAAAATTCAGGTCTGGGCACAGGATATAATCCCAAGTAAACAGAGATGAATTTTGCCTCAGTAAAGCAAGCTGTCAAGTTTTGTATTGGGGCTAGTTTGCCTCGAGACAAACAAACCCCTGTAAAATATCAAATTATCCCTCCCCCCCAACAACAGTATAATAGACATAAACTGTAATTATTTTGTTATTACATACAAATCTACATTAATTGTTGACCCCATTTTCCATTTTATACACTTCTTGAACTGAACAACTTACTACAACGTAAAAATATAAAAAAATTTAATTTTAGTACTTATTTAGAGCCCTCGAGTTTCACATCATGGGCATAAGATCCCTTCCATTTTCCCACTTGGTAGGAATTATTGTACCGCCCATATTTTCGATATCAACAAGACAAAATTTGGATATATCGCCCGAAACACAATAACTGTACTAATTGTCTGTTCCGTCGTTTTTGTCTGCTTCACGCTCGCTGTGTACAATAATAATTTTATCGGCGGTTAGATAATGAATGACCGTCCGTCTCAATTACTTGACATAAATAATCATACATTCTGAAGGAACGACGCGAAGGACCGTTCTGGGGCGAGAGTACTAATTCCGCACGGTTATTTACCCACGGAGAAAGGAAAGCATTAGTGAAGTCTAAAGTTCATTAATTAATCGGTGGATGGGCCGTGGAGGGGCCGTGCATGGAAGGGTCGTGGAGGGACCGTCGAGGGGCCGTGGAGTTTTATTCTGACTTGTAGTAAACTTTAATATTCCTTTCAGGAAAGTAAATCACTTTGGCTATGAGTAGTCTCGTTTTCGTGCATGTGATATTATACGTAAAGCCCAACATCGCAATCATGAGAATTAACGAGGCTGTATAGCCAAGATGACGTACTATCCGGAGGAACATATTAAACCGCCAAAACCTTTTATACCAGAATAGTGCGCAAACAGAACGTTATACGAACAAATTAAACACGATTGAACATATATGTCCGCGGGTAAATTAGCAAAAGGAAGTAATGTAATGTAAGTCCTTTTGCTAATTTTCAATTTTTTTAAGTCAGTGCGCTATAACTGCATCTCATAATTTTGTTCCACGATCTATTTTTATAATTACTAACCCTCATTAAAACCTACTGTTTTCTCTCCGCATTATATCAGCGAATGTTTTCTCTCCGCATTATATCAGCGAACGTTCTTCTGAAAAACGGGAGCGCTCTTTTTTATAGTAGGGAAATTCCCAGGGGTAAATGTTTATACGGGCTAAAATAGCACACAGCATTATTAAAAATAATGTAGCGTGCACAAAATATTATTTTTAATAATGCAGCGTGCACACAGTATTATTAAGGGTAGTGCAGCGTGTATCAGTGCGCAAAGACATTGTTCGCAATAATGCACCTTCGTCATCCTGACAAGTACACGCGATAACGTGAACATCTCAAGACGAGAAGATGACAATGCTAAAGGCCCCTCATATAATACCATCAGGCGCCGAAGCATTGCCAAAAACGGTAACTGTGAGTCCTTTCAGCTCAACTTTATAGAGAAATAGTTTGGTTTGCGCTTGTGGGATTTTATCTTAGATATACGCATGTGCAGAACACACCAAAAGTTCTATTCCTGTGTTTATCCAGTAAATTAATACGCTTTTTGAATTAACCTTTCATTAATGATAATTGGAACACTATAATATATTTGACTTCCGCTTGTGGAGATTTTAATTTAGGGCAATTAATTAAACTGAAATATGTTCTATCACGTTCACGAAATCTATGTTCTATCATGTATGTCCTCACAAATGTCTAGTGTAACGTTAACTTGGATAGGTTCATTGTTATACGGTCTCGACAAGCAACAACGTATAGTCTTCTAGCCGAAAATAATTACTTTTGATTCGGCCTTCGGCCTCAGCTGGCTGCAATATATCCAATAATGCCGTTGGCCTCAATAATTATCTAATAAGTATTTTGACGTCCCTATTGCACTGTAAAGTTGTTTGAACTTTCTTATATTTGCTGCGTACAACCTAAAAATGCCAGGTACGAAACAGTCAAAATAGGTTACAAAATTGTAGTTTCGACAAATGGGATCTATAGCAACCGCTAAACCAATGAGGGTTCATAAATACATGGTCACGAGCACATCGAAGTTCTGCCATCAATAGTAAGCAAGCAACAACATTTAATAACTAGTATTGAAAGTTATTTCTTTATTTACATTTTTATTGATATTCACCCAGGAATAAATCTATAGAGCATGGACAAAATTTATGCATTTGCAATCTGTATTTTGAAAACCTTTATCATGCATGTCTGACATGTGTTGCTTTGATACCAGTTGTCATAATGTATCCCAAACTTTTAACATAGACGACGTAATACTACTACAGTAAAGCACATGCCGGCATCAATGATTCCCTTGTTAAATCACCAAACGTCCAATACAATACCAAATTTCTTTAAAAAAGATGGACAACATTTTAACGATGTATTCAAGTTAGATTTATATGGTCATTTACTGTTGATCCTGCCCGTTTGTAAAGAACGTGAAGCCTGCATGCTGCCCACTTGAGAAACTTGCTGACTGACATAATTGCCTCGCGAGGCCAGACATGGAAAAAAGGAATCTCGGGAAACTGGATCCTGAGGAACATTTGCGTTATAGCAACAAGACTTGAATTTTTCACGCATATTTTAAGAGAGAATTTTGAGGAATCACATTTATTTTTCTGCCATTTGAGTCTATTTTGAGATAAGTAGGCTACGAAGTGTTCTTCAGATCTTGTTAATAGAATTTGAAGATAGTTTTGTTTCTTCTGCAATTTTACGACCATTATAATTAAGGAGCATTTGAAAAAGGCAAATTCTGGGTCCGAGAAACATTGAACACTTTTTCCAAGGTCTGCGCGTGGCGGCCTGCCTAGCATGTTTTCCTCGTGTGCGGATAATTTTCGAAAAAAACTCTCGAGGCCTTGAGAAATATATAAGTATCAATTTGATTTTCCTCATAACCAATTATTTTGAAAAATATTCTTACTTAGGATTGGCTAGTGGCTAGGGAATTATTTGCATCATGCAACCATTTTTAAAAAAAATACGGATTATGAAGTGACTTCAGTTTGTCAAAAAAACTTATACACAGTAAAAAAAATATCTGTCAAATGCTCACAACGTGACAGACAGCTTGGGATCATAGCAAAAATTTCATTAATTAAATGGAAGCGGATAACATTGCAGGATAGAATATACTTCTGTTTATTTAACAGGTAGTTTTATTATACTCACCTATCATAAATAAGAGCGATGAACAGCACAACTCATCAGGAGTTCCAGGGGAGAAACTACGGAAACTAAAACAAAATATTTTGAGGGAAAAATATATCATATATATATATATATATATATATATATATATATATATATATATATATATATATATATATATATATATATATATATATATAGATTGTCTATATCTTAAAATTAAATATCGCTACTCTGAGTTTCACGTCCTTTCACGATTTTGTTACTGATTACGTGATTGCATCATCATCAACCGTTCGCTGACGCGTTAACTTGTTTGTTCGCGCGCGTTCGAAATTCCCGGCGCTGAATTTTTCTCGATGGCGACATTTCGCGAAGAACTCGGATATATATACATATATATATATATACATACTATATATATATATATACATATATATATATATATATAGTGAAATGTTGCTGATGACAAGATACAAGTGTTGTCTATAGTGTTTAGAGATAATGTATAGTTAATCCCCGAGCCGACGGCGCGAAGCGCCGTGCGAGGGTACTAATTCCCCCCGGCTATTTACACCCGGGGAAACGAAAGCATTAGCGGTGTCTAAAGTTCATCAAGTATCGCGGGCGTGGGTGACCAACGGTGTTGAGTGGGTGGTCATCCTCACTGATCTCAAAAATATGGCGGACTGTCATGAATAGCGGACACTGATTGGTCCAATTTAAAGTTTGCATCATAACGACTGTATGACGACAACGAAATAGCAAACAATTCTTGATTTGATCACAGATTTGATGATTGATAAATTTCTTGCAAATATACTTCAATTTTACTCGCATTTTTGCAAGATTTTGTAAATTTCAAGATAGAAACGGCGAAAGAATCGGCTAAAAGAAGGGAGCCGACGTTAACGAAGGTAAGTTTGTGTTAAATATTGATTTTATAATTGCTTTAAAACCCGACGGCCTTTGGCCCTTTGCGTATATGAAATAACTAAACAAGACAGCATATAATTTCAGTCAATTCAGTGTATTATTAATATTGATTCCTTTTTTATTATATTGAATTTTTTTACTAAAAAGAAAGCAAAGTTATTTGCATGCGAGAATTTGAAATCATTTTGTTGCAAACTCAAAGTTTATCGATAAAGCCATTTAATTAAAGCCAGGCAATTTAGTTTTATAAAGAACGTTTTAAAACGTTTTGCGAAGCTTTTGTGGTTGAATTTTACCTTAAATTGAAGCTTATATTACGTATAATAACATACCTAACAAATATATGTTGGGAAATTGATAATTTTGTAATTAAAATCGATATTTTTAGGCAATTTTTCATTTGTAAGAATATTCTTAAAAAATTATCGTGTTATTACCATGACAACAACTTTGGATACTTCATGTTTGGAAAATACAATGGTTTTGTCAGCAAGGCGAGGGTTTCTGCATGCATGTATTTTCTAGTATATGCATAATAGATTAGTATGGATAGTTATAGGTATAAATATGGATCGTAGAAGTCGGCCATATTGATTATTGTACTTCAGTAATAACATGTACAAGTTTGTATGTTTTCTGGTTGAAATATAAATCTCTTATAATAAAGAGACACTAAATTGTCCATACAAAAGGTTTCAATGTACAACCAAAAGAATCATTTATAACGTCAAATAAAATAAAAGCTACTCAAATTTTGCGCAAACGTTTTCGCTTTAATATTAGCTCCTCTGCTGGATATTTACAATGAGTGGAATTTGGTTAGTTTATCTATTATCATATTATAACTATGTTAGGTACGCGTATATTTACATTGTGTGAAATCACGCGTTAAAAACATTCTATTTATCTAATTGTAAGCATAAGTGGTTTTTTAATTAGCGTGCAGATCCGGATTCAGTATATTGATAAGTTCTTTTTCTTTCATCTCCTTAAAAAGTCTGTCCGTGTTAATGCATTGATATATTGGCATTATTTTGAAAATTCCGTTGTTACACATAATATTTAAGTGCTCGCTTACTTTTTGATGTCTATACTCTGCGTGTCGAATTTGTTCCTTGTGTAATGTCACTCTTTTGCGTAAGTGTTCTGTTTGGCCGACAAATACAAGGAACAGCAATGGGCACCAAAATGGCCCCAACGTACGCCACATTAACTATGGGTTTTATTGAAACACAACTGTATGAAAGGTTCACGGAAAAGTATGGACAGGACGAAAAAGAAAACTTCATGAAATTGTTTAAACGTTTCTTAGACGACTGCTTTCTATACCCTGGCAGAAGACAGAAGCAGAACTGGAGGAACTTCACAAAATGTTAAATTCATTTCATCCAAAAATACAGTTCACGATGGAATATGACAATAATAAACTACCGTTTTTGGACATATTTATCTACAAGAACGCGGAAAGATTAGAAAGTAATATACATTACAAACAAACGGAAACACACCAATATCTTGATTAACATTCAAGTCATCCTGGACATACAAAATCAAACATTCCCTACACACAGGCAAGACGGATCTGATAAATTTCTTTGAGTTTTGTCCCATGAGTACAAGACCTTATGTTCTTACCCAACCATTAATTCAAAGCAATTAAAGGTGTAAAATTACTACAATACGTTATAGCTAATTTGAATTTGAAAGGGTTAAATTTTATTTTAGACACACTGTAGAATGTTTTTAACGCATGAATGTAAATATATGCATACCTAACTACTACTTAAGGTAGATCAATGCAGTTTTTAAAAAAATGGAAAATTGACGATTTAGATGCGTATTTTTGGACAATTAACTTGTTGATAAACAAAAAGTACCTTACTTATATAAAACATCATCGAATTTTTGCACAAAAGTTACGCAACTGCCGTTGCTATGACAACAATGATGCTTCAAGATGGCCGATATTTTGGCTTTGAAGTAATTTAACTCGTAAACGATATCGTTGACCCAATTTAACTCGTATTTTAAAAAATGTTTTCTCTTAGTATAATCAATCATTTTGGCAATTAAAAAAAATCTGTGGAGCCAAAAAAAAATTATTATGAATAATCACCTTTACGTAATTTAAAAAATTTCGGCTTCACAGAATTTTTTTTAAATTGTCAAAATAATTGATTATACGAGAGAAACAATTTTTTAAAATAAAATTTGGGGTCACTGATGACGTTTACAAGTTAAATTACTTTAACGCCAAAATATCCGCCATCTTGAAACGTCATTGTTGCCATAGCAACGGCAGTTGCTTAACTTTTGTGCAAAATTCAAACTCTTTGGATGTTATTTTATGTAAGTAAGGTACTTTTTGTTTATCAACAAGTAACAATTGTTCAAAAATACGCATCTAAATCGCCATTGAATTTTCCTATTTTCTTAACTGTATTGCATGAGCTACCTTAACTACAAAAGCATGGGCAGTTACGAAGTAGTTAAGAGGCGGGCCATTAAAAAAGTGATGGGGGTGGGGGAAGCAAGAATAAAAATCGAGCAGAAAAACAGAAAGAAAAAAAAATTCGTGCACCAAAAAGTTTGAAAAAAATTCGTGCACAGACTTTTCAATAAGCAAAATTATAAGTTAAAATAAAAAAATGCGTCCAAGGGATTATATTTAAAAAAATTATCGACACAAGCAAAAAATTTTAAAAAAATATTCGTACAAGTTGGAAAGTCCCCCCCCATCACTTTTCTAATTGTCCGCGCCCCTAACAGTTTTATACAACCTATATAGAGACTGGAATAAACATAGCTGTGTAGTTCCCTCTGCACACTGTGAAAACGGTTTGGTTAAAATAACTAAATTGATTTGGTTGTCTCGGATGCACTTTCTTTTGACCAATATAATTTGCCTTTTGGTCAAAACAACCGAAAAATTGGTTATAATAAAAACATTCAGTGTGATGATATAGTTGGTATACATGTGTAAAGTAAACCTAAAGCTTGACTTAATTTATCTAATGCAACCTGACTGTTTATAATTATATACTCCAAAGATTCTTGCCTCGTACTTGAACTGGTACAAACTCTTAACTCAAGGTGTACTCGGTCATTAAAGTGGCACTGTCATCAAAATTTTTATTTTCTTAAACTAAAATGCTCTTAAAACTGTATGGTAACTTGTTTTGAAGATTTTTGTTCCCATGATTAGTTCTTGAGATATTTCATTTTGTTTGTAATCATGTGACGTCATTTACTCAATTACATATATAATGAGATATCAGTAATTGTTGTGTATCTTAGCTATTTTTTATCAAAATATTTCGAAAGTAGTATAGTTAATTTAACCTACATCATTAAGCATACTGTTTTTTTAAACAAATTCATCAAAAATAGCAAAGATACACAAGAATTACTAATCTCATTATATATGTAGTTGAGTAAATGACGTCACATGGTTACAAACAAAATGAAATATCTCAAGAACTAAGCGTGTGACCAAAAATCTTCAAAACAAGTTATTATACAGTTTTACGACCATTTTCGTTTAAGAGAATAAAAATTTTGATGACAGTGCCACTTTAAAATAAAACAAGACGCCTACTCAGGCGTTCACTCCGGGTACAGGGCCTTAACTAAGCGCAAAGCTACTTTAACGTATGCTTCTATACGGCAATGAAGGTATCTTTAATGCATGATATTTAGCATATTAAAGTTGGAAAAGTGGGAGAACTACACCACTTGACCAGGTGACTAAAAACATATGCAATGATCATAATATTTTATAACATAAAAATAAAAGGATATTGTGACACTAATTATCTCTAATAAAAGCTATCTAGTTCTTTATTAAAAGTTCTATTTAAAACATGCGTAGGAGTGTTTTTTCAAGTCGTATATAATAAGTCGGAGGCCGTATTTTACAAATATTTTATGGGTTTTTTTATTGTCGAGGGTAGAAATTCGAGGGTGAAAAGCTTGAGGGTACATTTTAATAATTTAACAAAATAATAATTTAAGTTCGTGTTCACTTACTTTACTTTTAATTTTTAGCTCTTATTTTTATATGCAATTATTAATTTTTTATATGCGATTACTTTTTATATGACGAAATATTACTACAAAGCGACAGTCGAGATATTTTCAAACGGCGTGGTGCATTATCTGCGTTATCTCGGATT